AGGGAAATGAAGCTGATTACACATGTCCTTGGAAGTTATATGCATTTGCTGGAAAGAAACATAATGGACATTTTAGAATCACAGAATATTGCGGTGTTCACACATGTAGCAATCCGATAATAGAGCAAGATCACAGTGGTGTATCTGTCTCTACATAGCGCGGTTGATTATCCCAAAATTAAAGAAGAAGCTTGAACTAACTCCCGGTAATATAATTGAGAGAGTGCTAGATACGAAGCTCATTAAAATATCATATAGTAAAGTATGGAATGCAAGGAGAATTGCGATGACATAAATATTTGGTGATTGGGAGAAGTCTTATGCGACACTTGCTCAATATCTTGATGTGATCAAAAGAAGAAATCCTGGATGAATACAAACTCATAACCAAAGACATCAATCCGGAAGTTCATCAAGTTACCTCTGTATTTTGGGTATTTGGTCATTCGATCGAGAAATTTAAATTTTGTCGGCCGGTTCTTAGCATTGATGACACACACTTATATGGTAAATATAAGGGTGTATTGCTTGTTGCTACAGGAGTAGATGCATATGGTGGCTTATTTTTTTTGGCCTTCGCAGTTGTGGAGATCAAGAATAGTGAAAATTGGGAGTGTTTTTTTTCCTGCATTCAATTATATATTTTTAATGTGTTGCCTCCTAGGAAATTACTTTTATATTCGATAGGATGAAATGTATTCCTAAAAATTGTACATGAGAGTTGGCTCTCATCACCATCACCTCTATTGCTTAAGACACATTAAAGCTAATTTTAAAAAGAGTTTTGATCAGAAATATTTACAAAGCCTTCTTTGACAAGCGGGTTGTACACCCGAAACATGTGTGTATGATCGGATACGTGATCAAATCAAGGTAACATTTTAAGCTGCACATGACTAGATTGAGAGTAGTTTGGGAAGTGAATATGTCGACCGGTGGGCACTAAGTAAAGACGGAGAGAATCAGTTTTGCATGATGGCAACTAATTGTTCTGAAAGCTTTAATGGTGTACTTAATAGGGCTTGAGCAATGCCCATACAGGCGTTGGTTGCGAGGACATTTTATAGACTCAATCACTATTTTGTCAAGCGGCGAGAGGATGGAGCAAAGTGCGTGACGTATTTTTCACCAAAAAATAAAAAAATTATAGTGTCTCGCGTCATACAGGTGAGATCAACAAAGTTTGTTAGATTTTCTATAGATAAATGATAGGTTACAAACAAACACAGTCATAATTACATCGTCAATTTACGAGGGACACAATGCGCATGCACTTATAACATACCATAATTATAAATATTGGCATGTTCACATGTTATAGCGGTTACGTCCAAGCAAATTGGGGGTACAAATACTTCGTATTACACATACACTTCTGAGTGGTATTAATCAAGCCACTATAGAGATTCATACAAGCAGTGTTTCCATCATATTGTGTAGATAGTTGTTACTGGCCACCCTATAATAGGCCGCATGTGTTACCTCCTGAATATAAGAGACAAGTCAGACGTCCGCAATCAATACGCATAAAAGATACGATGGATGAAGAATGAGAAGGAGCTCTAAAGAAAAATAGGTGTGGATATTGCAGACAACTGGGTCATTGTCCTAACAATCCAAATAGATAGCAATTAATGAGTATAATTTATTTAATTTATAATTTTATTCTACTTCCTTTGTAAGTCAATGCGTATATATAAATTTTGTAATTTACTTCTAATTCTAATTTATCATACGTCATAATACTGGCACATTTTATCTTTATATGTGTAGATTTTTACAGTATGGAGGTGGGTCCATTGACATATTACGTCCTATATGACCAAGATCAACACCGATCCTTGAAGATAGACTCTGGGGAGGTAAATTACATTTTTATTATTTTTAATCATTTCAAATTTTCAATGTTCTTATTACTATTGAACATTTACACTGTTTACTATATGCAAGCCCCAAGTATTACTATTGTTGATCATACTCGTGCGCATTCAAGTTGGGATTTGACGGATCCACAGGTCCAATATAATGTTCGTCAAGAAAGCTTTTTTGAATGTTCACAAATAAAATGGGTAAGACTCGATTGGCCTCACCTGTCGGCATTGATTTACCGATGGAGGCTTGAGACAAATACATTTCAAATGCGTCAAGGAGAGTCGACTATTACTCTGTAGGATGTAGGGGGTTTTACTTGGCCTCAAAGTGGATGGAGATGTTGTCTGTTACGGGTACCGATGACTTCAATTGGATAGGAGTGTGTGAACGATTACTGGGTCAAGCTCCTAATATGAAGGGTGGTAAGATCAAGCTCGAGTGGTTATGAAATAATTATATGAATGTACTGATCGATGCAATTGATGAGATCGTCAAGAGCTATGCCCGTGCATATCTACTCTATATGATTGGTACCGTTCTATTTCTGGATTCCACTAAAGATTTAGTGTATGTTAGATGGTTGCCACTTCTTGAGGATCTTGAGGAGTGTGAAGAGTGATCCTGGGGGAGTGCAATGTTAGCTTATCTCTATAAGGAGATGACAAAGGTGGCACTTGTGCAAAATAAAGAATTCAAAGGTTGTCTTACTTTGTTACAAATATGGTCATGGGAGTGATGACATTTGGGAACACCAGATTTGAGGCAGACCTGTGCTCTCGATGGCCAGATTCTGTTAGGATGCATGTATATTAGTTTGTAATAGATATGATTACATGTAATTATATATATTTATTTCAATCTATACTAAATTTTTGTATATCAAATAGATGGAATGTTTTCAGATATTGGCAAACCTCCCCAAAGAGCCACAAAAACTTCAACAGGAACGAGCTTGATCAAATGGAGGATGAACATGTATAAAATCATAATATCTAAATATATCAATCAATACATCATTTGTTACTGATATGTAAATTTACATGATGTTCTTTATAGGTCAAGTGCATGCCCTATGACTTGGTTTTAGCTTCACTACTAGATTTTTTTACAGAGATGATGATAATATAGGGCATGCTCGGGTACAAATTATATATTTTGAGATTGTCAAAATGCACGTGCCTAACAATGTGCTTCGACAATTTGGATTAAAACAACATATTCCAGATCATGTAGAAAGAATAGAGCAAAATCCTCAAAAAGGAGCACATCATCAATTTTGAGAGATAATTCGTCATGCTTACATTGAGAATTAGGAGTTGAGGGAGGATGCTATAGTGATGGAGAGGGCTGACGCATCAGAACTAGATGTGTACTTACAATGGTATTAGGGGACTACTCACTGATGGATATTTTGGGAGAACAAAACACCTAAGGAGTACATACTGAGAGATCCAATTGAGAGAGAATTAGTAAGTGTATAGGCAAAATATATAATTATTTTATGATTATTATTTTATTATCATCTACTTTCTAATAATCCTCTTTCGTTTTTTATCTTATAGGTACAAGAACTTGATCAGGTTGCTTCTATTGCACATGATGCATTGAGATCGACTACCGAGCCAGGGGTGAGGAACGCATTTGTTCGCATCATAGGAAAGGTTTAGTCTGCTCTTAGAAGGACGCATCATGCGAATCATGATGGACACGAGGAACGACTCATAGGGTACGAGTGTCGACTGGTCCGAGGATACACGAGAGCGGGCTCAAGTCGTGCACATGATGAAGCTGGAGGCTCACAACAAGCTCAAGTCAGATGTTCACTCCAGGTTCAAGTCGACGAGGATGTCATACGCTCACAAGTTCACGCACAACCGGACGTTGAGATCATCCAAGCTCATGTTGAAGGTGAACGGGGAAGGGGAAGAGGAAGAAGAAGCAGAGCGAGAGGGAGAGGGAGAGCGAGAGGAAAGAGATTTCTAAATATTTGTTAAATTTCGATATACTTCATACGATGTTTATGTTTGAAATGCTATGATATTTATGTCTGAAATGCTACTGTGACTTGATTATGGTTGGATTTTTAGTAAGTGAATTAAATGCTACGTTCTTGTTAAATATTTGTTATAAATTTAATAATTATATAAAGATATGTGTTTATTTGTGTTTGAAATTGATTATGAATTGATAAATGTGTAGCAAGAGAGTTGGTGTTAAACTTGTAGATTGATATGTGTTAGCAGGAGATGAGATTTTCCAGTAAAGTGTGGGCTGGAAGGTCTTCGTTAAATGGTCGGGGTTGGCAACCCCGATCATTTTTGTGTGGGGGTGTCGCGGGCTCTGTCAAACGGTTGGGGTTGGAAACCCCGACAAAATTAGTTGGGGTTGCGAACCCCGACTTGTTTAGTGGCCTAAACGCGAATGGGGGGCTGGGGACGTCCTCGACTAATAAGGACCGTAATTTTTTTTAAAACGATCCACTTTCTGGTCACGAAGCTGACGTGACCAGAAAGTGGGTCGATTCTTATAATGATCTTATGATAGGATCGAAATTTGGGATTAAATTTGTGAATCACCTTGTTGTTGCATCTTTTACCATGATTATTTCGGTTTCTACTGTTATTGATCATTTCGAGTTAGATACTTGAGGTCTTTATTAGGAGACCAACGCCCACGATTTTCTTCTGTCAAATAAAGTGAAAAGTTTCGCCGTTTACGTAATAAGAAAACCGTGGTGACAAGATGCAGAAGGGAAATATGAGCAATATTACTGAACAGCGACAACGATGGTCATCATCAAGACATAAATGCTGAACTTCCCCATTCCAAAAGAAAAAACTTTCGCTCATATACTGCTCAACAAAGTAGGTTG